GGCGGGTGTATTTCCAGTCCTTTGTGACGATAATTCCAAAAATTGATTTCTCGCTGTTTGTCGTGTTTTTCCATCCCAGCTGATTTTGCACATTAACTCTATAATGTGTATAAATTCAAGCTGACTCAGATACGCCAAGTTCTCCGTCTAAATACGTAGAGGGGCCGCCGCAGTACCACAAAAGTAGTATTATCTGACGTCATACTTAATCACCATTGGTTAATCTAGTGGTGCTTCCATCATGCTCCAGTTTCCACGACCTTCTTGCTTACAACCCTCAAGAACCCGCCTATTCCGACTCGACGATTCATCGGCATGTCAAAACCTAACGTTGATATAAACGACCCCAGTTCCCCTGGCGGAAAACTTCTCCAAGATATCATTGATACACATACATCTCATGCACCTTTCCCTGTAGAAAGAAACAGCGGCACAGAATTATATCGAAAACTCAGCGACAAAGAAGACAAAATGCAAGATGCAGCGTCGCAGGGTCATAGACCAGGCCTACAGCGGTCAAGTTCGAGACGTACAGCAAACGGATACATGCCCATCGAAGATTATGGGTTGATCGGGAACATGCGGACCTGTGCAATGGTTGCCATGGATGGCGGACTTGATTACATGTGTTGGCCGCATTTTGACTCGCCATCCGTCTTCTGCCGTATTCTTGACAAAGAAAAGGGTGGCCACTTCACTATAGGCCCAACGAACGACGGCTTCTGCACTACGAAACAACAGTATCTTCCCGCGAGCAACATTCTCCAGACACGCTACTTGAAGGAAGAGGGCGTCATGAATGTTGTGGATTTTTTCCCAAGGCCAAATGACAAGAACTGGGATTCCCAGTTTCATGCTAATGTCATCGCGAGTGAGCACAATGGCAATGTGCCCGAGCGTCCCGATTTGAAGAAGTGGCTTGTTAGGCGAGTGGAATGCATGCGAGGCACCGTCGAGGTGAGTGTACAGGTGTTTCCTGCATTCAACTATGCTCGAGACAAGCACACTACCGAGATCGCCGACCTAGGCAAGACTCCACAAGGACAGGGCCTACAGCGCGTGATCTTCAAGTCTAAAGACCTATCTCTGGAATTAAATGTGACCATCGACTGTGGTGGTGAGCCAGAATCGTCATGTCCAAGAATTGCTTTTGAGAAGACGCCCGAACCCCAGAATTTGGGGGATGGGGTCACGGCTACTTTTACATTGACCGAGGGGCAGGCAGTGTCCTTCATTCTGCGCGATGCAGAAGATCAGAGCCCAGACATAATTGAAACCAGCCAAGTTGTTGCGTTGCAACAGAGCACTCATAAGTATTGGGCTAGATGGATCCAGCAAAGCAAGTATGCGGGTAGATGGGAAGAAATTGTTACGAGGAGCCTGCTTCTCTTGAAGATGTTGACATTTGAGCCGAGTGGAGCAATCGTTGCTGCGCCGACGTTCTCTTTGCCAGAAGACTTTGGGGGTATGTTGCCTCCGGAAGTGATGAAGCATATACTGATATGGTGTAGGGTCACGCAATTGGGACTATCGCTACTCATGGGTACGAGATGCGTCTTTTACGATATACATCTTTCTCCGAATGGGTTTTAGCCATGAAGCCGAAGCCTACGTCAGTTACATCTTCCAGCGTGTCAAGGAGACTAAAGCACGCCACGGAGCACTTCCAATCATGTTTAGTATCCATGGTGCAAGTGACTTACCTGAGATTGAGCTTCCGCACTTGGAAGGCTACAGAGCGAGTCAACCTGTTCGTATTGGGAATGGAGCGGCCTCCCATATACAACTTGACATCTATGGTGAACTGATGGATGGAATCTATCTCGTAAATAGATTCGGACGCCCAGTTTCGTATGATCAGTGGCTTTCAGTTCGGGAGATCGCGGATTACGTCTGCACCATCTGGAAGGAGCCAGACATGTCAATCTGGGAGGTTCGTGGCATGAAGCAGAACTTTGTTTATAGCAAGATGATGTTGTGGGTAGCGCTTGACCGAGCGTTGCGCCTTGCAGACAAGAGGAGCTTCCCGTGCCCACACCGGGCAGAGTGGTACCGAGTACGTGACGAGATTTATGAAGAGGTCATGGAAAAGGGATACAACTCCCAGTTGGAGTGCTTCATCCAGAGCTACGAGTCGAACGAAGTTCTGGATTCGGCTGTGCTAATAGCGCCTCTGGTCTTTTTCATAGCGCCAACGGACCCTCGCTTCCTGAAGACGCTTGACCGGATACTAAAACCTCCTGAGAAGGGGGGCTTGACTAGCACCGGCCTGGTATTCAGGTACAACCACGCGCTTAGTGATGACGGTGTAGGTGGGCAGGAAGGCAGTTTTTCCATGTGCACTTTCTGGTTGGTCGAAGCACTTACACGAGTAAGCACTCCAATTTCCTACATAACCTCATTCTATTCGCGTGTATCTTTGTCTAACGAATACAGGCTGGGGCATACGACGAGAAGTATCTTTTGCAGGCTGTGACGATGTTTGAGAGCATGCTGAGTTTTGGAAATCATTTGCATATCTTCTCCGAGGAGATTGCGCGGTCAGGGGAGCAGTTGGGCAACACTCCACAAGCTTTTAGCCACTTGGCCTTGATATCTGCAGCATTTAACTTGAACAAGACGTTGAGCAGCCGACACCGGTAGATGGGGCGGTATCGAGGGTTGGCTGAGGACATAAAGAGAGCGACGCAATGCAGTATTACTAGTCAATACGAAACCGGGGCGAGTTGGTCTAGACGTCTACGCTAATCTGGAGGAACCGCAATGATCAGCAATCAGTGCGTCATGGCTGCACTGTTCTCCAGCCGGAATGAGATTCAATGTCGCTAAATTGATTGGGCTAGGTATTTACCGCCAGACACCTATGAGGGCGTGGCGCACACAACAGGTCGATCCCCTGACAGTGACACGCACAGTGCAGCGCACTGACTGGATAATCTCTTTCAACACATGTCCCAGTCTCGAATGCCTTCAAACTTCCAGCAAGCTGTTCCTACACATCGCCAGCAGGCCATGATATAGTACACGTCTTCCTTTTCGTTTCCATTCATTTTTTGTCGACCATCAGCCAACCTGCCCTCTTCTTCCGGCCGTCCCGCATCATCCGCGCAACATACGTAGCGTCGTCATCGTTTGCTCTACCAACGCGTTCCATCCCAGGCAGTACCAGCATTAATACACCACACCATGTCGCTCCCGTCCAACTCTTCAGTCGCGTCAAGCCTTGTGACAATTGACGAAAAGTACGAGATGAGTGGCCTGCGCAACGACGATATGCTGGTTCGCGACTTTGGTTGGCCCTCAGTCTCTCCACGCTACCACGGTGACCACACACCCGAGAGCAACCCAGACTGGGATCACAATCCGCTCGAATGCGAAAAGGCGAAGCAAGAGGCTTTTGAGAGGATGGAAAAAAGTTACGCTTTGTACATGGCGAACCTAGGGAAAAAAGTGCCTGTGCAGAAGAAGAAGACTTCTTGGTCCAGGTTCCTACCTTGGGTGCGATAGAAGTGGGCGACCTGGCGATGGTGCGCCTGCTTGCTGCGACGTTTGAAAAAGATGGATACCTGTTTGGCAGACTGATGCATATACATTGCAATGGACAGCTATTGTTATACGAAAAGAGAATGTAAGACTTAATAGCCGAGTAGGAGTGGGGACTGGGGCAGAGGGGCGGTGGTGCACTGCCCCAAACCCCAGGTATGGTTCGGAGGCTGCTCGGCCTTGTAGTATGATAGACCATACTGAGCAAGGAAGATGCGGGGTTGGAGCGCACCTTTTGGCTTGTCTGGAAGCCGTTTTTTGATACCCTTTTTCTTTGTCATTTCCTATGTTTCGCAGAGTCTTTTGCGCGTTGTTTTGTAGTCTTTTCAGCGCATGTTGTTCTTGTATACCCCCCGATTTAGATGTGTTCTTTCTGCAATGGCGTCCGAGCCGCATAATTCTATGTAGTACACAATATATGCATGGACCGTTCTGAGCAACACTATTCCCATGTCGGTGACGTGCATGTTTTACCGCGGACTGAGTATCGCGGGGTTCATCTTGTCCTTTGAGGCGATCGGGAATTCTCTTCCAATCCACTATTGTGCGGCGGTTGACCATTTCCGGTCAAGGCATAAACATAACTAGAAAGGGCTCCACTACACAACGTGTCCAGTTTTTTTCTCGGCGCAGCAATCTCAGAAGACTTGCATCTTGTGAATTGCTGATATTGGAGTAGTCTGCTTACATATTTCTGTTCTATCCCATCACCACTTGCCAACAATTCAATCGCCATTTTCATCTTGGACAAAAGCATCCACCATGGGCTCTACGCTAGAACAAAAGACTATGCGAGCGCAGCAATATGATGCACGAGACAACAAGCTCCACCTCAATGAAGTACCTATCCCACAGGCCCGCGAGCATGAGCTCCTCATTAAGATGCAATGCGCATCTCTCTGTCACTCTGATGTGATGCTTTTCGAGCCCAATGAACAAGGTCTTATTCTCGGCAAGAACCCTGTTACCATCGGCCACGAAGGCACGGGCAGGGTCGTTGCGACTGGGTCAGGAGAAGTAGCCAGGAAGTTCAAAGAGGGAGATGCAGTGGGTTTCCTCTGCGCCGTCGAATGCTGCTTCGAGTGCTATTCCTGTAAGAACGTCAGTAATATCTGGTGCTCGACGGGTCAGACCAAGATACAGGGATTTAGTGCTGATGGGTATTTTGCCGAGTATGCGGTCGTGGATGCAAGGGAGGCTATTGTTTTGCCTGAGAATTGTCAGTTCATGTCCCGTTCAAGCAATACGGATTGGGGACGATGAGATGAATGTAAGGGCGAAGCGCTAACTTTAATGTAACAGTGGATCCTAAAACATCAGCACCTCTTTTCTGCGCTGGTGTAACCGCATACCACGGCATTGCAGACTGCGAGTTACCTGCTGGGTCCTGGATGGCAGTCATCGGCTGTGGTGGTCTCGGGCACATGGGTATCCAGTATGCCAAGGCCATGGGCTACAAAGTCATTGGCATTGATATTACCGATGCGGCTATAGAAGAAGCAAAGAGTTGTGGTGCAGATTACACCTTCAATTCCCTGACAGACAAGGATTACAAGAAGAAGATACTGGAGCTCACAGGCGGTGGTGTACATGCGGCAGTCAACTTCACCGCGTCCAAGAAGTCATACGATGACTGCCCGGCAATAGTTAAGCCTGGTGAGGGTATGATCATGGTGGTAGGTATTCCGCAGAAGCCACTTGAATTCAACGGCCTGGATATTGCGATGGGTCGTTTCAAGCTCAAGGGATCGAACAATGGAAGTAAGTCAAGCCTGTCTTCTTCTTTTTTTGAGACTATATGATGGATGCTGACTGAGATACAGCATGTTACAACATGAGGGAGGTAATTGAGTTTTCTGCAAAACATAACATTAAGGCGCACTTGACAGTGTTCCCACTGGAAGAGGTACCCAAAATGGTCGAGCTGATGAAGTCACACCAAGCAAAGGGACGCATGGGAGTGGTTTTTGATTAGAAGGCAGGCAGTTGAGAAGCCAATGAGAAGTATGGGGTAGCAGGGACTATGGACAATAGCAATAAGGCCGGATCTGGACGTGTCGTAAAGACAAGCATGCGTTGGTGTAGCTTTGGCCCAAGTGTTACCCGGGCAACGCTAGGCGATGAGGGAAAGCGCGCCCCTAGCGTGCATTTACACATGCGCTGCCCCGCCGCCGGCGCTGAAACATATGCACAACCAACAACACCCACGCCAGGTAGGAACTTTTAATTCTCCCGCCTGCAATTCTTGATACCCCCCTTTTTCTCTTTTTCTTTGTGATACCCTCCCTTTTGCCGGCGCCATGGGTTCCGACGACCTCATCGACTTCGAGGTGATTGAAAACCAGAAGGAAAACATACAGTCGCTCCCCAGCGGCCGCTCCGCCAAAGCCCTCGCCCAACTATACACACCGCCACTGACATCGGCCGCCGGCCAAGCCCCCTCGCCGTCGCAGATGCAAGATGCCAACAGTGCGACTCGCCTGCAGTACGAGAAGGAGCTCATGGCCATTGACGACTCGGACGACCCCCTCGATGTTTACGATCGCTATGTCAAGTGGACCCTGGACGCATACCCTTCCGCCCAGAACACACCCCAGTCGCAGCTCTGCCCGCTGCTCGAGCGTGCAACAAAGACTTTTCAGTCGTCGCCGCAATACAAGAACGACGCCCGCTATCTCAAGCTCTGGCTACACTACATCCACCTCTTCTCAGATGCGCCCCGCGAGACTTTTGCATACCTCGCCCGACACCACATTGGCGAGGAGCTTGCGCTGTACTATGAAGAGTTTGCCGCCTGGCTAGAGTCTGCAGGCCGCTACGCACAAGCAGAGGAGGTGTACAACATGGGCATTGAGCGCGGGGCCCGCCCAACAGAGCGCTTGATTCGCAAGTATGGTGAGTTCCAGCACCGATGCGAGAGCCGACCGCAACAAGCAGAGGAGCCCACGAGTCCGGCATTGCCCGCTGTTCGCCCAGCGCTCGCGGCCAAGGTAGACCCGTTTGCTCTTGCCTCACCAAGCGCTCCTACCCCACAAGCACAGGCTCAGCCAAAGGCTGCTGCAGGTACATCGCGCTCAGGAAAAGCCAAGCTCGCCATTTTTGCAGATGGTGATGACGCGGTAAAGCCCACCTCGAGTGGCAGTACCGAAGGTTGGGGCAACATTGGATCGCTGGCGGATCGCAAAAAGGAGAACGCACAAGAGGCGCGGCCTTGGGCTGGCGAGACTCTGAAGGTTGGAAAGAAGAACACGGGCGTTCCCAAAATGGCAATCTTCAAGGATGAGGTGAGTTGAGCTACCTCCGTCGGCCCCTTCACATATTTACGATTACAGGACTAATTGGTGGGCGTTTTGCCATTCATGTATTCAGAGCAAATCAAATCTCAATGACGAAAACGTCAACTCTCATCCATTACGTGAATACCAACAAGCTGTCAATCCAAGGACAGGACGGCTCGAGGTCGTTTTTGTCGATTTGGAAAAAGTGTATCCTAATCATGAAGACCCAATGTCTGAAGAGTATTCTTTTGAGGAGTTGCGAGCTAAACACAGGGGGTGGCTGGATCATAATTGGGCTGCCATTCGAAAACAAGAAGAGCAGGCGAGAAAAGATGCTGAAGCAGCACTTGCTGCTGCTCAAGTCAAACCTAAGGCCATTCCTTTAGCACCCAAACAAGAACCCAAGCAAGAGCCCGAACCAATTGCTAAACCTCAAACAGTACCGTTGAAGGGAAGTGTTGATGATGACATGGGCAACGACGAGAATGCGCCACCCTCGCAGGCTGATGTAGACAAAGCAAAGGCAGCGAAAAAGGCCAGACGTGAAGAACGTGCCAACAGGACTAGAAAGATTAAAGTCATGGAAACCAAGGAGATTCGCGGAGAAACGCAGACGAGTAAGTAATGGTGGTTTATCAGGTACGTATTATACTAACATAGCATAGTCCAAGCCAATCTAGATTCTCCAGTAAAATCCAAGGTGCGACGGAAAAAAGCTAGTTCCGAGATGACCATGACACTCCATACTAAGGAAGCCATGGATGAGATCTACGATATATTCAACGAGCCGCTGAAGAACGCTGATGATAATGCTTCTGAAGCCCAGAGTGGTGAGGAAAGTAGCGATGATGACGAAGATGATTATTCCAGTGGCGCCGAGAGCACAGGGACTGGCCGTATATCCGGCGCTACAAGCGAATATGGAGACGAGACGACAGTTGGAGGAGACTTTACACTTGGCACTAGAGTCCTAAACCATGACGGCAATGATGACGAAGAGGATGATGAGGATGGTGATGACAATGACGAGAGCGGTTCGGACGATACAGATGCAAAGAGTATATCGGAGTCGTCTGACTTTACCGAGATCAAGCCTGGACGAAGGGATGATGAGCAAGATGACTCTGGGAATGAGTCTGAGCATTCTGATCAATCTCAAGATGATTCCTTTGAAACATCGAACGTAGATGGCGAATCAGAGCACCAACGGGACGAGCAAGTCGTCACTCCTACATCGCCTTCAGGACCAAGATCTCTCCCAACACGCTTCGTCCCTGTCCCACCTGAAGACTACAACCCTGCTATGCGACCATATAGAGATCCAGTCGTCGTTGCCAACAACCGGCTGCCCTTCATGACGCCTATTGTGGAAAAGACTGAGTCATCTCTGGGTATTGCCACGGCTGTAGCGCAGAAAGAGTACTATGCGGCCAAAACACCTTCGCGGTCAAAGGGTACGCCTGCCATTATGGAGGATGATGATGAGGAGGAGGAGGAGACCTGCAGTAGCCCCTTCTCTGATATTCTGGGACAAGTCATTGATGGGCCAGGCAAGGTTGCAAAGCTAGCTCTGACCGAATCGAAACCAATGCCCAAAGAGCCTCTAGACGAGCCGCAGCGCAAGCCATTGGCCGCAAAGGAGCCCCCAGTTACAGTGGCCAAGCCTAGTGGACCGATCATCAAGGA